TGCTCTCTTTTTCATCATCCTAGAATTTCTCTCTCACACTTACGAAAAAGAACACTGGAACTAATGCTAATGAATATTCTGCAACCAGAAATCCCTACAGAAGACACCGCTTACTACTATTTGTAACCATTTTTTTCCCTCCAAATAAAATGTGTCAACCTTCAGCATCAAACCAGAAACCAAAGAGGACATACAGCCCAAATGTCTCCCAGGGCTTGGTCCTTTCTACAAATGCCTACCCAACAGGGATATAGCCTCTGCCTGACTACTTCGTCTAATGTGGATTGCATGACCATTAGGGGTCAGCATATTGGATTGCTGGACAGCTCCACATCCTACTGCAGGGTTCATTCTATTCTATTAGTATTTGCATCTTTTAAACATTTCTTAGAATTAGATCCCCACCTGCCTCCCCTAAAGCATATAAAGTTTCTCCAGCATTTCTGGACTGTTCTTCTCAGTAGGGCTAATCTCCCTGTTCCTAGCAGCTCTTCCAGTCAGGTTCCTAGTCCCTCAATCCTTCAAGGAAGCATTGCTGACCTGACAAATTGGCATTTCAAACTGTATCTTCCTCCTTTTCCCAGGCCATCAACTTTTTATAAAGAAGATCCTTTGGGACAGACCTTCAGGACATTGCCAGCCCTACTCACGCAGGTGCATTTAAGGACATACTACTGAATGGTTTTTCCTTCTTCACACTCCTTCTCCCAAATACAGAGCATGCTCCTCTACTGCCAGGTTGACAATGAGTGCTTACTCAATTTTTTTCATTTTCCCCCTCTTGCTGAATCAAGGCAGTGGTAATCAGTCCATGCTGACCACTATCAAGCACAGGAAAAGAGATGACATTTTCCTTCCAGTAGGCATGAAAACTAAATCCACAAGCATACCCCAGGACTGCCTGGGGGTAGATAAGGATAAAAACTGAGTGACATGCAGGTTCACCTCAGAAGCCTTGTGCTGGCAGTTGCTCCTGTCCAAATTCTTTCTTTTCTATTATTTTTTCCCACTACCTCCAAGTTACTGGTAAAGAAAAACAGACAGTATGAAGTAACAGCAGCTAGTCAGAGTCACAGAGTAGGTCAGGGAACTTCAAGTTCATGGAATCTTTACACCAAAGGATTATTTTAGAACTCATCTACCCACTCAAGTTACAGCACAAATAATTGAAGCTCTGGGGGCTAAATGACTTATTCAAGGTCACAGTGAGTTGGAGCTGAGATTTTCATATTCTAACCAACATTAAATTCCCAAACTTCATTTTAGCATTCAACTTCTCAATTTGTCTATTACAACCTCCAAGGCCCAGCTCAGATTATTTCTGGTCCAGGAAGTATCCCCAGTCTTCTCTACGTCTATGGACACATCTTCCCTCCCTGATGCTAGAGAATGCCATCTCCATCACTCATCGGCACCAATAAATAGAATGCCCTCTGACATTCATGAGTCATGAAACACTTAACTAGCAGGGTCAGTGGAGGTCATTTAACTCATGCCTCACTTTCAGACTCACACCAGTTCACCAGTGTAGCTGAAGTTCCCTTGGAAAAAGGTTCTCATCGTGTGGATGATTTGTCATTCCACTCTGTTCAGTACCATGCTCTGCATAAATTGCATATTTGGTTCAGAATGCCAGTTTAGCAATTACCAGGAATATATGTGTCTGAAAGAGTGGGATTCCAGTTCCAGGTTTGCCATTTATTCGCAGTGTGACTTTGGATTAGGTGCTTGGTTTCTTTAAATGGGAGTATCAGTAGTGCCCACCCCATATATTTTATCTCAATTAATACTATAAGGCAAGAGCAAAGCTCTTAGTGCCACATTAAGGATTCACTATTTGCTATTCCTTGATCATTTTCAGGTATATTCACTTTGTCAATGTCATTGGCTTATAATCAGACTGTAAAGAAGTCCAGGTACAGAAACTTGGGGGATCTTTCACATCTGAGGGAAACTTCCATCTACATAAAGGAGGCTACAACTTGATGAGGAGAGTAGAAATAAGAAGAGGAAGAAACCTAAAAAAAAAAAACAACTTCCTTTCCGTCTGGGTATTATCAATAATAAAGTCAATAACTCAAACAGGAGAGGCAGAATGGAGGGAGGCAGGGCTAGGTATGAAGGTGACTTTGGTGCATAAAGATGGTAGATGGTTTGTGCAAAATTATCTTGAGGTCCCCCAACTGGCCTTAGAGTAAAATGATAATTCTATCTTTTATGTGTTTGCTTGCTCCCCTTTAACGCCAGGGGTATTTTACTAGCACCAATTCTGGGCCCAGAACCCAAGGCATGACTGGGGGGCTTTGGCAGACACCATCACCCCCTAGTGGTGGCTCCACACTCCCCGACCGGCTGAGTTTGGCATTTACCAACTTTGCGTGCCCAGGGGTGGCACTACCACCTCCAAATCCCCTGAACTGACAAGCACATAGTGAAACACTTGCCCATCTCACCAGGGACACATGCTAGACAGAATATTTAAAAGTCTGGAGATGGGATGGGCCTGCGTTGGGACCCAGGGAAAGAGATGACCATAAATGATTCATAGTATCTATCACCCTCATCCCCATCGCCACCAGCAACCCTCATTTCCAGCCAGCCTGGCCCTCCCGGAGCTCATTGTGCATCCGTGTTTACACACAAACAGTCGAAGACCAACACAAATAAAAATCCCACGTCTCCCTACACAGCTCCTGCTATACCCGGCCATCTGGTGACTACCTCGCAAGCCAAATCCCCATTGGGAGCGCCTTGAGCTGCCAGTCCAGGGCGCTGGGGAGAAGGAGGAGGCAGGAACCTAATTCTTCACATGCATTCAAAGGGCTCAGTGCTGCTAAGGAGGACAGCACCCGTCAGCTCCAAGGGGTTGGCAGTCCCCAGTCACAGGGCTCTGGCTGTGCGTCAGAGAAGTGGAGGGTGCCAGGAGACTCTCAAGCTGACACATGGGTCCTGGGGGATTCGAGACTTCCAGTTCCTCACTCAGTTCCTCACGCAGCTCCTCACTCAGCTTGTCCCAGGCTCACAGGCTCCCATTCCCTCTGAAAGCCAAAGTTAAAAATGGCAAACATTTCCAGCTCTAGCAATTCTGGGCACCTAAAAAGCTGGCTGGACCGGGTCCTCCACATGCTTGGGGAGTTGGAGTGCTCGGGGGTCCTTGCTGCCAAAGCCAAGGACCTGTCCCCTTCCATCTTGAATGGCCATTTTAGGAGAATTTCCACCCCTTATTTCTCAGGGCACCCCAGAGTAGAGACATCTCGAGGATGGAGGGAGAAGGGAAGGAAGTGGTAGCCAAGGGACACCCCCAGTGTCTCCGGAAGGACTCTTCCCCACCAGCAGGCGGTAGAAACCGGCGGGGAGTCTGAGGTTAGTTCGGCACCCCAAGGAACGCGACCTCTTCCCTCATCCCCTTTCTCGGACACAGGCAGCCCCACAGGTGCACGTGGGATGGGCCACGGGTGTGTGTGTGTGTGGTGTGTGCGTGTGTGTGCTGTGCGTCGTCGCACGCCAGACGCGCCACCGCGGGAAGTCCCCGGGGAACCTGCAGGACGCTCTCGAGCCTCGCCTCTCAGAACGCTCGGCATGCTCAGACAGCCGGGGAGGGCACAGAGGCCTCAAACCCCGAGGCGCACGCTCAGCCCTGGAGACGGACCGGCACTCGCTCATGTCTCCAGAGGCAGCCAGCAAGAAAGGGGCTGGGAGGGTCACAAAAATATGTTTAAAAACGCCAGGGCTCCCAGGAGAGTGAAGCCTCGTCGATTACTCCGTGAGGCGAGCAAGGAGTTAAGCCTCGGAGGTTCGGGCCGGGATCCTGATGGCGCTGACCACTAAGGTCCGTCCTCCTGCGATGCCCGAGCCGGAGCTGCGAAGGCAAAGACGGGGAGGGAGAACTCGGGGTCTGGGCGAGCCCCCGGCGCCTCCTAGGTGCTGTTGTTCGCCAGACTCCGACAACCAATGAGGCCCCGCGCCCCCAAGAGGGGAGGTAGGGCGAACGAGCAGCGAGCGCGGGAGAGCGAAGGGGGAACAACATTTTTGTAAACGCTCTCCGAGATAATTAAGCTATCAATTACCCGAGTGGGAAATCAGCCGTACTTCCCACAGCTCCACGCAGGGCCGACTCCTCCGGGATTCGCGCCGGGAACCAGCAGGCAGCAAGCTGCTGGCGAACTTTCCGATTAACTTTTCCGTTTGAGCCCCCCACCCGGACCCGCTCCCTCTCCTCTCTTTTCCCTTGACTTTAAGTTATTATGATCAGTCCAGGGAGTGAGCTGCGAGGACCAACCTGCTCTCCGCCAGGAGGCGGGGGAGAAAGGGGAAGGCGGTCACGGGACTGGGGAGAATTTAAACGTGGAGACCTCGGGCTTCTGTCAGAACCCTAGTTCTCGGCAATCACACAACTCCAGCTCCATTTCACAGATGACCCAAACTGAGGCCCAGAGAAGCGAAGCGACTTGGCCAAGGTCACCCAGCCCGTATGGAAGCTGGGCTTTTGCGGGATGGGCGATGACACATGCAGCCGTCCGGCTCGGATTCCCGAGAAGACCTCTCTGGAAGGGCAGGACCCGCAACTCCGAGGCGAGGGCGAGGGGGCGGTAACCGCGGGCGGCCAGTGACCCGGCCCGGAGGAGCCATGGGCTGCTGAACCCGAGCCAGAGTAGGAGCGGGGCATTGCACCGGCCCCTAGCCAGGGCACACTTGGCGACTGGGGGTCTCCAGCGTCCGGGATGGATCAGGCAGCACTCAGCGTCTGGACCGAGAGGCAAAGGGACGGGCTCCTGCTGCGGGAGGGCTGGCACGCCTCCCGGCTCCCGCCGCGCTCCCCGGGACCTCCTGCCCCGCGCACCCTTCCAACCACCTGTGCGACCTCCGGGCCCCTCGACTGGCCTCCTCCCACCCCACTCGGGGCGACCCGGGGCGGGGATCCCCAACGCGCCCCCACCCGTCCGTCCTCACTTAGGACTCGGGGTTCCTTGGGGTCTTGCGTGCGCCGGCGCCAGCCTTACCCAGGGTGAAGAAGGGCAGCTCCGTGTTGTCTAGGTCGTCCTGCACCGCGATGCGCCCCGGCAGCTCGTTACGCACAAAGAGCAGGAGGCGCGACTCCGCGGCGGTGCCGGCCGAGCCGGGAGAGCCCGGGGACGCGGCAGCGGCGGC